CCGCTGTTGAAACTGATCAGTTTCAGCAGCGGCTGAATCTGGACGCCAGTTCCGACTTACATACAGATTCAACTTAAGAACAAACCTACAGTCCCTATCTTGTACGTAACCCGGGGACTGCCTGTATAGTAGATCTACAGAGAAGAGTACATGCTATATTTTCAATATACAGTACATCTCCCTCAGCCTAGATTGTACTTCTGCTGTTGAAACTGATCAGTTTCAGCAGCGGCTGAATCTGGACGCCAGTTCCGACTTACATACAGATTCAACTTAAGAACAAACCTACAGTCCCTATCTTGTACGTAACCCGGGGACTGCCTGTATAGTAGATCTACAGAGAAGAGTACATGCTATATTTTCAATATACAGTACATCTCCCTCAGCCTAGATTGTACTTCTTTGTTTCTTCATGCTTTAACTCATCAAAAATTAATGGGAGAATGGGTGGCTATGGAAATATCAGATGTACTTTTTGAGGGTGAGGACTGGGAAATGAACAAGGAAAGGGTCCTCTGATTTTAACAGTTATGCATTGTGCATGAGCCTTCATTCCTAACTAATTTATATATCTCCCCTTCAGAATCATCTGAAATACATGTTTCTAAAGCCATCCAAAAAGTCTGTATTGAGGTAAATGAAGATGGCAGTGAAGCTGCAGCATCCTCAAGTAAGATGTGAAGATGTACTTTGGTTAGGCGGGTAAATACTTATCACACTTTTATCTCTTCTGAACTTAATGAGAGAGGATATTGAGTAAAGGTTGGGTGCAAATCATTGGGTGCATTTTTCACCCATGGTTCTTCCATTTCATATTAAAATACTAAAATGCATGGTTGCTGACCTCCATCTGGAAGCAGCTTAAGTGTGTATGCTCTTTATTCTTCAACCTAACAAATCCATTCTTTATCCACATATTTGGCTATAATGTGATTTTTTTTTCTTCAGTATGCTTGCCGTCAAAGACACTTCTTCTTCCTTGGCTGACTTCTACTTTCAGCAGGGATCCAGAATAAATGATTTTTAAGGCAACTTTTACAAAATGAAAGTCTCAGCAGCTATTTTCATTTACCACTTTGTGTCAATGCTGGTCATGCAAATCATTGCACCGATTTTTCTTGATGTTTTGGTTTGTATTTAAACAGGTTTTTGTTTTGAATTTCATGATGCTTTCTTTGTCCCTATCCTTCTCCTACCCAAAGTAAGCAAGTGAGTGCAATGGGGACAGAGGAAGGACAAAAGTATTGAGTGCAGTGCACCTGGTATAGTGAGAAATCAGAATCTCATGTTTGCTCTTTTTTAATGCAAAGTGTAGGAAATTATAGCACCTTGATTCCATACACGGATGTGAGGTGGCTATTTTGCCATCTTCCCTCCCTCCTTCCATACCAGCAGAGAATTTCCAAGACTAGCTTTTGGGTAGTTATATGCATTCCACTCAGTTAAAATATGTCTCATATGGTGCTCCTGGCAGTGTTGTAATTGTGTCTGTCCTTCATAGGCACAGAGC